TTTTACGTTTAGCCATTATACAATTTGGAGCCTTATACAAACTAAAGTACTCGCCAGTATAAACCCAAACTATCGCTTGAGCTTATGTGCCGTGGTAGTTCATCCCTTGTAAGGACTGAAGAATAAAACACAATAGGGCGTTCAACTAATGCATAGTTTCTATTATGTTGCATTCGTTTCCCCCTTCAACATAAATGGCTGCGTATTCGAAGAATACTCTACACGGAAATGACAAGCAGAAGTTCTTAACTTACTTTTAACTTCTTCAAATGCATTGCCCATGGTTCTGTTCCACATACCATTAGTCACTGGCAGCTTTGAGTAGGCGCCATTTTACGTTTAGCCAGCCATATACAAACTAAAGTACTCGCCAGTATAAACCCAAACTATCGCTTGAGCTTATGTGCCGTGGTAGTTCATCCCTTGTAAGGACTGAATAATAATACTCAATAGGGCGTTCAACTAATTCATAGTTTCTATTATGTTACATTCGTTTCCACCTTCAACATAAATGGCTGCGTATTCGAAGAATACTTACACGGAAATGACAAGCAGAAGTTCTTAACTTACTTTTAACTTCTTCAAATGCATTGCCCATGGTTCTGTTCCACATACCATTAGTCACTGGCAGCTTGTTACGTTCATTGCGCTTTACTTTCACCCCAACATTTGGTAGAATTTGTGCTTATTTTGAGGTATTTCGGTATATATTTCCACAATCACCAGAACTATCGAAGTTATTTGGTATCTGTTAGTCTTGAAAATTTGTCTATATGTATGATCGGGTGCTGACATGCCATCTATGTCGAACTGGCATCTGAGTATTTCGGCTTGATCCTGGCCTACTTTGTTTTTCACTCCTTTTAAGGAGCACGCAAAGGCTTGGTCTGCAATCAACAGACATTCATCGAATGATACACCAACTGAAACATCATCAACATAATTATGGTTCGTGGGACATTTGAGTATTTCGGCTTGATCCTGGCATACTTTGATTTTCTTTCTTTTAAGGAGCACGCAAAGGCTTGGTCTATATTCTATAGATATTCCTCGAATATTACACCAACTGAAACATCATCATCATCATAACTAATAGTTCGTGGAACTGTTTGTAATACTGGGACAGGCCGCATCTTTACAATACATCAGTCAGCTAACAGTCAGAATTTGAGGCAGACATCGACATTGATATTTAGCCGTATTACAGGTACTTACGTCTATCTTCATTCACCAATACTATGCATTATACAGCCTTTCGATCCATTCACTTAAATTGCTTCTGAAATAGATTGGATGGAAAATCTCTGGTCAGTGAAGTCCAATGACACTCGATTTGTGATAGTCTGTCACCAGTCGCCATTTCCATTCTTGATTTGGCTTCGGGACGATAAGGATCAAACTGTTAAATGGAAAATAGCTATATTCGATAATGTTACCATTTGGCTGTATTCGTCTGGTTGCATTTTCGACTTAGGGTATTACATAATACCCACCGGTCCGGTTCCGTTCCGGGTTAAATATTTAACATCACTAGATACTGGGTAAGAAACAGCGATATAGTCTATCATTATCATATGAACCTCGTATAGGAGTACGTTTTAGAAGTTCTATAGTTTTCGCGAGGGGTCATAGTTTTGAAAATACAACATTTACTTTCAGTTCACCATTCATCGAAGTAAAGGTCGATTGATTCATAATTGAAACGTTTACTTTGTTGAGAGAACGTTGTTGAGAGAATATTGATTCGCTACATTTAGAAAACAATACTGAGCACAGCCAGATATCAGATTTCACTCGGTCTTCCTTTTTTTCATTTGTAGAGTTCTCTGGTTTACTTGTCTTTGCGCATGTCCAAGAATTCTTCCACGGGGTTCATCTTTTTTACCCCATTGTCATTAGGATGATCATGTTCACATCACCTTCGCTATCCAGTTCTATTATCTTCCAGTATTCCTTCCTCACCGTCATAAATATTCAACGTGAGCACACTCTTCACTTAACCTCGCTGTGCAAAGTGCACTCCTCGAAGCAAAGATGGAGTAACAACACATGATCCAACTTATTTCCCAGTCTCATAAGAAGGCTGGCTAAACCCACTTCCAAAGCGACCATCAGCGAAGGTCAAACACATACATCAGTCTGGTGTGAACGGGCCAGACACATATAATATTCATCTTTAGTAGGCATATCAAATAAAACAACACGACGCTTCTTGTTGAATAGGGATACATTCTTCATATCCATGCCACCACTCATGTTGTTTATTGGTTTGAAGCACTTAGAAGTGCTATGAGATGGGTTGTTTCCATGCTCTGAACAACAACACTTCAAGAATTTATGTAGCGACCTACGAAATACCCAGGAACTGGAGCACACAACTTGTTAAGGTTGCACGAAATTAAATCACCATGTGATGTCGATTGGAGCCATAATTGCACGTAAAACAAATGTCTATCAGTGATACATGGGTGTTCGTTCAAATCCGCAACCGGCTCATAAAGGAACACAGGCGATGATACGGACAGATTAAGGTGTGGCTCATGGCAAAATTGAAGCGCTAGGAGTGAGCTACACTGCAAAAGCTGCACAGCGAGAAAAAAAACACGTCACTGATTGTTGCAAAACGCCACAAATGTCCAGTAGCGATCTAAAGCAAAATAATCGCAAACAACACAGTTTATATATAAGTACATTCTACCAACAAATATAGCTGAACTAGCTCACTTTGAACAGCAGCGTGGCGCAGAGGGAGCGCGCGAGGCCCATAACCTCGAGGACGTCGGATCAAAACCGACCGCTGCTTAAATTTTTATTTTTATTCTGTGGATCCTACAGTTCTTTCAATCTTGTTTTATAACCACTGAGTTGAATCAACATAGTTGTATACTTTGCTGTCTGCACCGATTTTTGACGGGGTTCTATAGGACAGTACGCACACCTTTTGGATAGCTTGACAACATGTAGCGTTTAAGGGGCAGAATTACTCAGCTTTGCAAATTAAGATGGACAATAGCCAGATTATAGCAATTCGTGGGTTGAATAGGGAATGCGTTTATCACTATTTTTCAGATTTCATATCGTCGTGCCAGATTTCAGCAGTGATATATTGCTTCAGCAAAGATGTGGAGTGTCAGCCCTATAGTTCACATGTAGTGAGGATATGATATACCATGCGACTCTTGTACGTCGTCTAGTTACAACACTTCGATCAAACGATCAAACGGCTCTCACAAGCTGTTGTCTTACATAAGATGCACAAATATAAATATCTCACTAAATCTAAGTCTGATTATTGTAGCTATAACACATACTTCAAAACATTCGCTCAGACATGATCTAATCGCCCAGTTATCATTCACGAATTGCCTGTAATTCGCGATTATACACTGTGTCAAGGCCTGCGACGAAGACTTCGTTCCAAAAGTTACTTTCAGACATATACCGTCATAATGTGCGGGAACATGCGGGGACTTTAGAAAAACAAAAAAAACACTGTATTATTATTATAAAAAAAAAGATAGAAAAAACAATCCTAAAAAAAATATGACGTCACCGAATGCAGTAGATGTCAAGCAACCTTTTCAGTTTTTACCCATGAGCTACTGAGCTATATTATTATATTACTCAATATTATCCAAAGAAATATACTGATTGGCTCAGAATGATTGCAGCGTGGCGCAGAGGGAGCGCGCGAGGCCCATAACCTCGAGGACGTCGGATCAAAACCGACCGCTGCTTATACTTTCACAGTTTTTTTCTTGACATTTTTTAAACCTTGTATCATTGAAGTGCATGTTGGAACCAAGACCAGCGAAAGTGTGTAAATTAAAGCCGATATAAGCTTATACTGCATATTCATGATGATTTGTTTTGAAATAATTCATGCATACGAATGACGTCATTGAATGCAGCAGATGTCAAGCCACCCGTTAAGTTTTTGCCATATTGACTGAATTGAATTAATATGTAGCTAAATAATTTGGCACATGTGTATTCTGATTTGCTCAGAATCACAGCAGCGTGGCGCAGAGGGAGCGCGCGAGGCCCATAACCTCGAGGACGTCGGATCAAAACCGACCGCTGCTTGAATTTTATTTTTTTAAAGATTAAGGATTCCTGCTTCTCTCGTACCTCTCAATTTTGTTTATATGGTCTGGTGCGCTACTGGTAAATCATCTCAATTTTATACTAGACTATTTGCCTCTATTTTTAGTGGTATTCTATAGGACAGAACGCATACTTTTTTGACAACATGTAGCATCTCTGGGGTTTTAGGGTTTTAGAGGATTATTCTGTATTGTAAATTACAATGAACAATACCTATTAATTGTCAACACTTGGGTGGATCAATGAATGTGTTCATTACTATTTTTCAAATTTCATATCGGTGTGCCAGATTTCAGCACTGACCGCGTCTTTTGCCGAAGCAATGTGTCAGTGCTGAAATCTGGCACGACGATATAAAATCTGAAAAATAGTATTGAACACGTCCATTGATCCACCCACGAGTGACAATTAATGGCGCCATAGCTCGCATGTAGCGAGGGTATGATATACCAGTGCGACTCTTGAACGGCGTATAGTTACTACACTATTGTCAAACGATCAAACAGCTCTCACGGGCCGTTCTACATTTGTAAATATTTCATTCATGTAGCTACAATTCAGACTTGACCTAATCGACCAACTATCATGAATTGCTTATAATCCGCGATTCTGCACTGTGCTAAGGCTTGCGACGAAAACTTCGTTTGTAGAGTTGTTTTCGGATATTTATTTACTGTCATAGCGTGCTGGGATTTTAATTTTAATTTTTTCAAACAAAAAACCTATAAAAAAACGTATGATGATTTGTTTTGAAATAATTCATGCATACGAATGACGTCATTGAATACAGCAGATGTTAAGCAACCCTTTAAGTTTTTACCAGATTGACTGAACTAAATCTATATATGGCTAAGTATTTTAAGACATGTATATTCGGATTGGTTGAAAATTACAGCAGCGTGGCGCAGAGGGAGCGCGCGAGGCCCATAACCTCGAGGACGTCGGATCAAAACCGACCGCTGCTTAAACTTTTACAGTTTTTTTCTTGACATTTTTTAAAGCTTGTATCATTGAAGTGCATGTTGGAACCAAGACCAGCGAAAGTGTGTAAATTAAAGCCGATATAAGCTTATACTGCATATTCATGGTAGCCTCTACTTTTGCTGAATGCATAATAGTCTGATTAAGTTTAGTTCGGAGTCAGCTTTAGTGATTATATGCTTGGTTTCGACATACGAGCAAGACTACTTCACTAAAATCATTTCACTGGGAAAATAATATAATTGTCGTCTATACGAATAATTAACGCATATGTGGGCAATTTACTGCCTGTAACCGCTCTTAGATACCAAATACACCTATATATAATCCGGCATATAAAAGGCAGGTGCCTTATTTACCTAAAAAGATATGAAGGTGTATATCCGACACACACACACACACATATATATATACATACATATATATATNTATATATATAATAAGTACTACTATATACTATATATACTATTATACACTAAGACTAGANACTATACCAAGACTACACAGGATAGNNANNATA